CAGATTTGCGCATACGAACATAGCTACATCAGCACTTGATATTTCTTGCCACAATAATTTTAATTGACGAATTTTCTAGTGCTTTTTAGTGTACCGTTAGCCCAACTTCGAAGAGACCAGAGCAGACGACGGCGTTGTCAAGTCGCGCGCCCAATCACGCAGCTGTCGATTCGAGCACTTTTTCATATGCAAATGCGCGGCGTCGCCGCAATAAGCCACAATAAGAGGAGCCCACATATAGCGCAGCCAGCCAACAAGGCGTCTAAGCACACACACATCCATATGTATATGAATGTCTCAGCGTGTTGGCCGGCATTGCTTTGCTTTTGTTTAATAATTTTCATTTGACTTGTTTGTTTATCCGCACAAATGCAAAGTGTTTGTTGTTGTGCAGGCGCGTTGCTCTGCCGCTGCTGCAATCTGCGTTGACACCGTTTTTATGTTTTCGTGACCGCTTTCCGTGGTGTCGACGCTATCGCTATCTGCTGTGTGGCGTTAAACATTTGTAGCCGCATTTTCAGTTGCACAAACTACTCATTGACTTACAATTATTTTTTTTTTTCATCATTTTGCAAATAAATTTAATCTTTTTATACCCTGAACAGGAGGAGGAGGAGGAACCCAGGAGGAAGCGTCGGAGATGCTATAAAGTAGATACATATATAAATGATCAGTATGTCGAGCCGAGTCGATTTAGCCATATTTACGAACTAGTCCCTCAGTTTTTAAGATATCGTTTTGAAATTTTGCAAATGTAATTTTCTCTTCAAGAAGCTGCTCATTTGACGGAGCTGCCGATATCGGACAACTATAACATATACATAGTTGCCATACAAACTGAACAATCGGAATCAACTTCTTGTATGTAAAACTTTCACATTTAACAAGATATATTCACGAAATTTGGTGCAAATTATTATTTAAGGCAACAATGTAATCTCCGAAAAAATTGGTCAGATCGGTTAACTGTAGCCTATAGCTACAATACAAATTGAACGATCGGAATCTAGTGAGGGTATGGAAAACTTTTGCGTTTGACACGGATTACTGCTTAAGGTAATAATATAATCTCCAAAAAAATGTTTCAGATCGGACTACTATAGCATATAGCTTCCATATAAACTGAACACATAGTTACTAAAAGAAATGCACCTGTGAAGGGTATATTAGCTTCGGTGCAGCCGAAATTAACTTTTTTTCTTTTCTAAGACTTCGCTTTTTGCATGTTTTCGTTGTGATTAGCATTCATTAACATGAGTTTGCATGTTGTGCTTTTGATTTTTTTTTTGATCTCACATCGACTTGACTTTGTTTGTCACCGCACATCAACAGATCCATCAATACGGCGTTTGTGCACAATGGGATTAAAGTGTATAAATTCAGATCAACTAAAAGCAACTAGCTCTGAGTTATTTGAAATTCAGGACATTTAATCAGGCTGCTTCAATTATATTGAATTTATTTGTTGGTACAATGTGCTTTTCTTGTGAGCAATATCTGGCTCGTCTTGAGCTAGAGAATTTGAAAATGCAAAAAAGTGTTTGCTGATTGACTACAACATATCGATCATTTTTTATCGATTTTTTATAAATGATATCGACTATATCGGTAACTTTTATCGTTATATTGTATACGCAAATTTTTCCGACGAATACCGTTACCGTTTGAACTGGCAAGAAAATTGCTTATTATGATAGATGAAATTGATGTCAAATATATCGATTATTTTTATCGATAGATTACACAATATTGACTAATTTTTATAGATATTTTAAATAATTGTGTATAAAAATTACTATTATCGATAAATATTCAAAATTATACCGATAACATTTCTATCGAGATTTCAGATGTTGGTCCTAGAACTTATCACTACGGTCATAGAATGGCAGAAAATTTGTTTATTACGAACGGTGGAATTGATATCGAATATATCATTTATTTTTATCAATAAATTACAAAATGTCGATAATTTGTTATCGTTTTTTTTAAAGAAATCAAATATAATGTATTGATTACTTTTATCGATTAACATTCTAAATAATTCTAAAATTGTTTTACGACCGACTAAATAAATATCGAATATTTCTTGTTATCGATAAATTACAAAATATAGATGAAATGTTATCGGTTTTTTAAATAAATAAAAAAGAATATATTGATTAATGTTATCGATAAAAATTCAAAATATTCTGATTCTAAATTGATAAAAAAAATTGTTTTGTAACCGATAAAATATCGTTTAATTATTATCGTTTTCTCTTTTAAATAAATGAAACCGAATATATCGATTACTTTTATCGATAAGTATTCAAAATAATTATGATGATATATTAATCGCTTTTGCAAGTTTTTGCCTTAGACTATCTTTAGAGTCATGGTGTGACAAAAAATTTGTTTTTAACAACCGATAAAATTGAAATCAAATCCTGATTTTTATCGATAAATTCTAATGTATCGATATATTGTTATCAAATATATGGATTACTTGTATGGTTAAATATTCAAAAAAAATTCCGACGAAACTTTTATTGAGCACCTTAAACATTTAGGCCATTGAGTGGCAGAAAACTTTCCTTTTCAATGTTAACGACGAAGGTAAAAAATAGAAACAATTTTATTGAAATTCATTGTTTTAGTATTAAAAAGACATCACACACTTTCAGCATATTTTATGGAACGACTGAAAATATTTATGTAAGTAGGTTTTTCTAGTACAGAAACGTCGAATTCATTATAATATTACAATTAAAATAAGTAATATTTCTTTCTACTCGTTCCACTGTGTGCTTCCGTTCGCCAATGCGCGCTTCAAATGATCCATCATAACTATCTATTGCTTTTGATACCTTGAATCTGTCGCTTTTTGATACTTTCAATAAATTTTAGCATAAATTTAACGTGCGCATGCGCCATTCTTGGTCAAGTTGAACTATACGGATATATAATTTCTTGTTTAACCTGACCTTTTTTATCAGCCAGCTTGATAAGTATTTAAATACATAAATGCTTATATACCCGCATATTTAAATTTTTATGCTTGCGCATGCGCAGATGCACAGCTAATACGTCCACTGCATTATCATTCGGCCGGCAGCGAAAACAAGCACAAATACACATAACATATGTGTATGTATATATGTTAAAGTGTGCTCTCATAAGGTGGCACAATTCGTTATTTGTGGCTGGTGATATTGCGCATGCGTGTGCCTGGCAACTGGTTATGCATTTGCCGCGCTGGAAGCTTGTTATGTTATGGTGCTTACGGCAACTATTTCACAGCGGATGTCCTATTGCCGTTAACAAATGAACGTTATTAATTTATTGTTAATAATTTCTTCACAAATTCATTTAATTGATATTTGTAGCAAATATTGTATAGCAATCAATATATACATATATATTATACACATGATTTGGTATATTAGATCTGAGACGAAGTTTATAACAATAAAAGGAAACTTCGAAGACTCCATAAAATATGTATACACGATCAGTCTGAGGAACTTACTCATTTTAGTCATGCTCGTCGATCTCTGTATATGCGAATTAATCCCTCATTTTACGAGATTTTTTTTTTTATATTTGTATTTGTGACGGGCATTATAGTAAACGTTTTTTTATGAAAGTTTTTTAATATTATTAATATTTTTTTTATTTTAAGTTCAGAGCAGCTA